ACAATTATGAACACTAATGAATTAACAGAACCTTCACAGTTTGACGGGTCTTCTGATGATAATTCATTATTTGTTGGTAGAGTTAGTTCAGAGGAAGCGCGGATTATTTCTCAAAAAGTTGATGTACAAGGAATTGGACCTGCTTGTAAAGAAAAAATTGAAGTTGACATGTCTCAACTCCCAGACTTTTCATTGTTTCCCGGACAAGTCTTAGCTTTTAAGGGCTTCAGAGAGGGCAAAAAGGTGATTGCTACTCAGTTGTTTTTATCGGCAAGTAGTCCTTCTCCAGAACCTCCTAAAATTAAAAATATTTTACAATTTGTTTTTGCAGCTGGTCCGTTTGCAGGTCCTGATTTGCAAAGTTGTGAAGCATTTAATTCTATTATTAAATATCTTCAAGAACATAAACCTAATTTTTTTTTTCTTATCGGTCCAATTTTAGATATGACCAATCCTCTTTTAAATATATCTGATTTTGCTGAAACTTTTGAAAACTATCATCAAAGGGTCTTAACTCAAATCAGTAACAGTCTTGTGGGATTGCCTACTAAGTTTTTTTTTATATCTAGCCCGAAAGATATTGTTAATCTTCCAGTTTACCCTACACCACCCTTATCTAACTCTGGTGGAGTTCAGAGCGCAATTAATTTTCTACCGGATCCTTCATTTTTAAATGTTGATGGTTTATTAATTGGTTTAACCTCTGTTGACTCTCTTCTTCATTTAAGCAAAAAAGAAGTATCAAATTGTAAGGGTAACAGACTTGCTCGACTTGCTGGCCATCTCTTAAAACAACAAACGTTTTATCCACTTTACCCATCAGATTTAGATATTAGTATTGACCTAAACCTGTGGTATAAGTATGCGAGAATCCCAACTGTTCCACATATATTGCTTCTTCCTTCTGATTTACATTTCTTTGTCAAGAATGTTGACAATTGTCTTGTTATAAATCCTGAAAGAATAGTCAAAGGCTACACGAGGGGTAGTTTCACACATGTTGAAGTTAATCCTCAGTCTGATGGATCTTCTTGGAATGTTGATTCTCACATTAGTGTTAAAATTATTAAAGTATGATAACTAAATGGCAGATCTGTTTATTGGTCTCGGGCTTATCAAAAGTAATCCCATAAAATATAATGTTCAAACATAAGTATATTTTATCAATCCATTGTTAGCAATATTTTTATAGAAATCAATGAGTCTGTCTTCATAGAATTTATGAGTACTAAAGCAAATGTAATGGAGAGTTAAATGGTTGAGCTATTACATAATTTATGATGTGTATATATTGTATAATAAAAAATATTTGTAAAATATATGTATATTTATTTTTTAAAGAGAAATTTTTATTAAAATTCCTTGTTCTTAATTATTTAATAATAACTCATTTTTTCAGTAAATAAATATTTGATAAATATATTGTTTGAAAGAACGAAAATAAGTTTTTTTTTTTCTAACAATGATAAAATACATAATTTAAACAGAATATATCCACCTTTCTAGAACTAAATACTTAAGTAATTATAATTTAAAAACTTAAGAGAAATTTAAATATCAAGTAATATATTAATTATATACATAGGTATATTATCATGAAAGTTATAATAACAAGACTTGCAATAGTAAGTACTCGTATAGCAACTTGAGTCTTTTATATGTGGTCTGATGAAGTATCAACTAATTTAGGTCTTTGTAGCCAATATTTAAAGAATACTTCGATTTCAATATTTAAAAATAGTAACAAATATTCTAAAGAAGCAGGTGAAAGGATAAAGTGGAGAGTAATGCAAGGAAATTGGGTATTGGAATAGAAACGAAAGCTGATCACAAGAAGTGGAATAGCCAGTTGTCGACTAAAAATCCTGAAAGCCTTATTCCTCACATTAAATTATTAAATATATTAGTGAATTGGTTTAACTTAATAATAACCATGACTTTTTTTAATGAATATCAAAAAATCTAAGGATTAACATTGACAAATTGTAAAATTCTCAAACTAAAAATTAAGCATTAAATAATAGTACATTTTTATTTTACATTAGAAATAGATTCAATAATTAATAAACCTGAAATGAATTTACTTTTTGATAAAATATGGATAAAAAGTTGACTGTTCAGACTATTAAAATCTTGAAAAGAAATAGAAGCTATGTTATGATTTGTGATATAAGCTAGCTCTCTTAGACAAATAAAAATAAAATACATTTACATGCTACATATAAAACCAGTGGACAAGTGGAAATGAAAAAAAAAAAATAGAAATGTACTCACATATGGCTACTTTTATTGCATATGCAGCTCATTCAATTTCTTCTAACCCCTCATAAGTATATCTACCTAAATAATAAAAATAATGCATTAATTTAAATTTAATCTGTAATTATATTTAAAAATTATATAAATTTCATTAACTTTATTAACATTTTCAATGAATAAAATTTTGTTATCTATTGTACCAAAATAATATTCAAAAAGTGGTATGAGTTAAAAAAATAATTGTAACTTTATGATATTCCAGTATTAACATATTAAACATAAATTGGATTTTATTTAATTATTTTTTTACACACATGGAATTACAATCTCATTCATTCCTTCTAGTATTCTTTCATTATTTTGCTATACCTTATCCTTCCTTTCCTTTGACCACTTTGTGCCAGATCTACATGCATAAAACTAATCATTTGAAATAACAGTAGCTTTATTAAACTTGTCAAGTAAATATCTCCTAGAATTTTGTTTCATTTTAGTGATTGTGTTATTTTTTTTAATTACTTATTTTGTAAACCTATAGCAATAAAATTAAGAGAGATGTAGTCATAACATGGTATAACTCAGTGCCTGCCTGACATTAGCAGGCCTTGACATCATCTCATCTCCCCCTCCTAAAAAAAATAAATTTATTTCTTGAGCTGTTTTATATTATGTAATATTTGAATTTTATTTCATTCAACATTTCTCTAATTCATCATCTTGATTGATAGGCTAACATAGATTATTTTAATACGTTTTGTATTTATTCTATTATTTCAAAAAGAATAAATAAACCCAGTGCCCATGAAGATAGAGGGCCTGGTTGTCCCACCCTTAGGCCGGCACTGGTATAAATATTATGGGTCATCACAGTCAGTAAATTGTATTCAATGCCCATGGGCAATTTTAATTTCTTGTATTGACTGTTGTTGTTCTCTGATAAATCCCAAGCCTTCTAAATGAATATAAATATAAAGTGTTTTATCTGGATATTTTGTTCATAAAGTGACTGAACAATACTGAAAATGTATTCCTCCTTACCTAGTATCAATAGACAGATACAAGTGATCTAAGGTTTATAATGTACATAAAATACTATAAATTTCATTTGATTTCTGATCTGTTTCGGTTTTTCACTCACGGATTCTTTCGGAATACCAGCGGTTTCGTCTTTCTTGAGTAGGGAAAAGTGTTTCTCAGTTAAAATTAATATGTCTGTTTTACTCCGGCGCGTTTTCCTTGGTACCTCAAAATGGGTACAGCCCGTTGTATTGTGTTGCCGGAACTCCGAAAGTTGGCCGGTTGGAGTTGTTCTATCTAAAGTTTCAAAGGAAAAAAAGCCTTAATGTTCTTGGTGGAGTAGTAAAACCCAAGCATTTTTGGATTACCCATTGAATCTATAAACATTACTTAAAGAAAGAAAAGTATTTTAGGGAGGTAGCTTCTTTCGGGATTGGATATAACTGTTGCTTCCACAGGCGGATTTACGGGGGGGGGGGCTTTCGGACTGAAGCCTCCCCCCCAAAATGGTCAAATATAACCATGTTTATGGTTAAAAAAATTAAGTCTTAAAGTATTATTGCTCGTTTAATTACATTTAATATGACTTCAAGAATCACTTAAACACCATTCCATGTAGGTAGTTAGAATCTTTCTGTTTTTACAATGAAATTATCGATATATATATATATATATATATATGAAAAAAAAATCTTCCGGGCTGAAGCCCCCCCCCCAAAATTAAATTCTGGATCCGCTAGTGGTTGCTTCTATTCCTCGCAACGATTAAATTATCGCGTTCTGTGTGACATTGATAATGTAACAGTTAATAATAAAATAGATTATTAGCCCATCGTGAGCACTAGCGGATCCAGAATTTAATTTAGGGGGGGGCTTCAGCCCGGAAGATTTTTTTTTCATATATATATATATATATATATATATATATATATATATATATATATATATATATATATATATCGATAATTTCATTGTAAAAACAGAAAGATTCTAACTACCTACATGGAATGGTGTTTAAGTGATTCTTGAAGTCATATTAAGTGTAATTAAACGAGCAATAATACTTTAAGAATTAATTTTTTTAACCATAAACATGGTTATATTTGACCATTTTGGGGGGAGGCTTCAGCCCGAAAGCCCCCCCCCCCCGTAAATCCGCCTGTGATCGTGAGCAGAAATTTCATTGTCTGCCTAAGTCTTAAAGGCTACTAGACAAAACTTCGTGTGATTAAGCATTATTTTACCAATCTTCATGTAGTGTCCTCAGTCTATAACAATAGACTCATTTATTGTAAGTCTAAAACAGTTATAATTTCAATTGAAGGAGTGAAAAATTACAAAAGAAGACAATGGATTTTTCCAAGGCTAACTTCGCAAATTGTTAAAAGGTGATTAAATGAAGTTTGTGGATATATTTCACGATAAAAAGTAATCATTTTTGTATTCTCAACAATAATAAAATATATATCGGTAGGACGAACATTAGAAACAGAATAAGTTCAATATAAATACATTTTTCTAATACATGATGCTGGTAGATCAGCTAATGTTTCGTTATAATATTTTAAGGACTAGATTCGGAATAAAAATATCTCCTTATATTCTCACACAGTGATAACAAAAATTCTCCTCAACTTCAGAAAATGTCATTGTTAGGCATACATCGATAGCTGATATCGATTAACTGAAAAGTGTTATTGAAATAACAATCGCATCATTGACAGGTGGGATTTTGAAGGATGGTGGAGTAGCATGACTTGGAGGTTTTAGTTTCTTGTTTGTTTTAAAATCAAGTATATTCATTTTCAACAAATCAGCTAACTTAGAAGAAACATAAACAACATGAGTACATCAACAAATGCAAGAATCTTACATTAACATAACTTTTATGTATTTATTTAATAATTTTTACTCTTATTTATATTTTTATATAATTTTAGACCAGTCAAAAGGAGAAAGATGAAAATGAAAATCATACTTCTATATTAGTTCAGGCCTTATTAGTCTTTCTTTTTATTGTGCGAATAATTTTGGATTGGTTTGTGGACTTCGTATTTAGTATCATATATAAAAATGAAGATCATTTAAAACTACCTGGAGTTAAGAATCCCTTGCTTTTGAAAAGTGCAACACAATTGGCTCAAGAAATCAGAGAGAAAAAAGTAATTATGTCTTATTTCATTATCGATTTATCTTTATTTAATTTTCTCTCCTTAACAATTCAATGAATACATTATTTTTTCTTTTATTACAATGGAGTGTTGGTATAAAATTGAATTATAATGTATTCAAATACTTTAATTTTTCTTTCATTACAATGCAGTGTTGGTATATAATTAAATTATAATCTATTCAAATACCTAATTTTTTCTTTCATTACAATGAAGTGTTGGAGTATAATTAAACTATAATATATTCAAGTACTTCATTTGGTTTATAAATATTTAAAAACCAATTATATAAAATAATTAAGATATTTAATTTTATGATGAATATTTTTAGAAATTAAATAATAATAATTTTTAAATGCTATTGATTTTCATGCTCTATTAGTCATCATTATCAAATTATTTATGGTAAAATGTAATAAAAAATTATAATATATTTTTCTTTTTTTTGAAAATGATATGGATCTAAGTTCACAAGTTTCATGTAAGGTTGACATGTGGATCAAAATCACATCAATCACATAATACTTGAAAGTAATCAATGTGGATAAAAGTACATTAAGCAACTGATCTTATCTTTCTTAGAAACAAATTCTATGTGGTTTTTGATGATTATTTAAAAAAAAATCCATGTCCGCTAACTGACACCTCTGCTTGGTTAGGCCACAACCTTTACTCAATTGGGGTTTTGTTTATCTTTTGAGCGAGTCTAATGACCCGTCACCAAACATTGTTTATAATGACTCTGAAGGGATTTGCCGGTTTTCATAAATGTTACAGTTGGTTTTTGTTAAAACTGATACCAACCCTGGAAGATATAAAATTTCATAATTTTTTATTTATTTATTGAGTTATTTAATATTCTCTCACAACTAAGAACATTACTACTAGTGATAAAAGATTTTATTCATATTATATTTACTATAAATAAAAATAAATTAAATGGATTAATGGTAAAATAATAATATCAAAAATAAATATTTATAAATAAAAACTAAACTTAAACTAATCGAAATAACAGCTTGAATACAACCATACTCAAAAATGTTTAAAAGGAAAAATCATAAGAAAAAAAGAATTTTACTGAAAACATATAAATATATATGAAATTCTCATGATTTTAATATATCTTTATTTATAAGTAGAATAATTTATACATATAATGATTTACATAAATACATATTAATTTAATATTAATATAAAATTAAATACAGAACTTAATTTAATGATTAATCATTTATCAATTATAGTAAGTATATTGAATATGTAGGAGAGAGGAACTTGACATCTGTGAATTGGAAATTTTAAATTTTTTTGGTTTCTGAACTGTTAATAAAGAAAAAAACGTTTGTTTAATATAGTTCCTAGAGGTGGTTTGTTATATCTGCTATTCAGTATAGTTGTTAACACTTGCTACTATCCAAATTTCATCTACAGTGTGATTGATGTGATCTTGACTTACGTCAACCAGAAATATCATTTGTGAATTATTATCATGATATGCTTTTAATCCTGACTAGTTGCTGACTATTGCTAGTTGATTTATTAAATATTCCTAGTAATGGAGATAGAAAGATGGAAGATTGTTATTAAACTGTTATATCTTAATTTTCTGGTTCATTAAGGTGGTATAATGTGTTTAAATAATTATTCACAGTATATATCTGTTGTATGTTTAGCTGTCTTGTGAGGAAGTAGTCTGTGCACATATTGATCGTATCAAGGAAGTTAATAAATTCTTAAATGCTGTCGTGGATGACAGGTTTAGCGATGCCATTGAAGAAGCCAAAAAGGTAGATCAGTATCTTGCTGAAACCGATCTAACCCCTGAGGAAATAAGAACAAAAAAACCCTTTCTTGGAGTTCCATTTACTTCGAAAGAAAGCACTAAAGCAAAAGGTAATTTTTATTAAATATTTTATGTTTTGCTTTTTCACCTCCATGGATTTGGGTACTAGCATGAATTTTAAATTTTTATTTTTACTTATATGTGTAATATATATTAAAGGAAAGTACTGCGATCGTGAAAATTTTTGAATCTTCAAATGAAAGTTTTCAAAAGACATGTTTTGAGGTCTTCTGAGTCAAATAACCAAGTCCAACAAAATGGTCTGTGTGTGTGTGTTAACAGTCTAGCTCAAAAATGAATTGGTCTATGAAAGTGAAATTGCATATTTAAGGTTTGTATATACCTGGGATGTTACAGTAACTTTTTCATAAAAATCGGCTAACTGGAAGTGGTAATTTATATCATCGATTTAACACATTTTTACGATTCTCTTGAAAATGGCTATAACAATTTTGTTTAGATTCATTATATCAGTGTGAAATTAAGCAGTTTTTACTAGAATCTAGATTTTATTCTCATTGATGGGACTTAAGAAATATTAGGACATCCGAGCTCGCCTGAAAGATTATGACAGGCTTCCATACGTAACATGAGCTTAATATAATATGGACTCCGACAATATTATATATATATATATAATACATTTTTAAACAAATAAAAAATACCCACAATGAAATATAAATATATACAGCGACCTTCTTTATGGGTGCCACTCTGGTCACAGTAATATTTTGTGAAACTTAATTATTTATTATAGTCAAATAAATAATTGAAATATACAGTCTTAAAAGGAAATGGCTAGTGTCAAACAAAATAAATATAATACATTAGACTTCTATAAAAAGCTTATGATAATTAATTGTTTTAAATAATGTTTCGTACTGTCTATAATTTTTACTTTTACTTCCCTTTGTCTGAAAATACTTATTTCTGCTGAGAAGAGGGTGGTAAGTGAAAGTTGTGCGCACCACACCAGATTTTTATTCTTTCAATGAAAATAAGTTTATAGTGATAAGAATGCTACCAAATAATGGAGAAACTTTCAAACCAATAAGGAAAAAATTGAGACAGGCCTCAGCAGTTGTGTATAAGCTACATTTTTTTATAAATACTTTTGCTTACTCCATTTTTAATAAGAGGGGGACAGTAAAATTTCTTAGAAGGAAAGCATGTGGGTCATTCCATGCCAAATCCTGAAAAAGTTTAATTCGTAACCCACCTTCCTCAGATCTTAATGAAAATTTGTAAATATTAAGTAAACATACACGTAAGTAAAAATACAAAATTTTAGCCAATTCTAATGGTTACTTTCAGAATTCCGGGCTTTTAAACTTTTGAAATACTTGAAGTTGGGAAGACATTTTGGGCTCAAAACCAGCATGTACCTGTTTGGTTTTCATCTGTAAAACCAATATTCATTCACCAAGAGCTTTCAAAATGTATTCATTTGTCAAAAATTTAATACAGAATTTGCTGACATCATAAGTTTTAGCATTACAATGTTTCTTCAAATATAAAAAAAATGTATACTTTTTAATATTTTTTTTATTTATATGATATTTACAACTGTATAAAAAAATAGATATCTAGTAAATTCGCACATGGATATAATGTCATGAAATGCATGTTGAGAAACTACCCATTGGTATCACTCTAATAATATGTCTATATTAGGAGATCACGTGGCCATTTTCTTTTCAGACGCCTCAGAGGGTTATCAGGAATTGAATAGGAAGCAAGGTTAGAAACAAGAGGGTTGGGATGGTTATGAAGTTTATTATGGAAGGACAGATATCTGGATTTGGCCAAATCGGATACAGAAGGAACATTAAGGTCATTATGGATGATTTTATTTGTGACAAAGTAAGGAGCATTAAGGATTTTGGATTGTAAGGATTGGATTGAGAGGAATTTGAAGGTTTGGTGGAGACCCATAGCTCAACTCCGTAAGTCCAAACAGGCCTTATTATAGTCATTTAAATGAGTCTTTTGTAATTAATTGGAAGGTTAGAGCGTTTGTCTAGTAAGTGTTGAAGTAGTCGGAAACATTGAGCTGTTTCTTGTCGTTTCAGTCTGGTATGAGGATTCCAAGTTAGACGTTTGTCCAGGTGGAGTCCTAGGTATCTTACCATTAAATTTTCAAAATATTGATAAAAATATATAAAACTACCTCTAGCTAAAATATCTCTTCAAATACTCCAATACAACCTTATATTAGTGAAAACAGCATACAATTCTCTACCAAATTATAATATAATATTAGTGGGATCTAGAGTTTGAAGAGTTTTATTACACTTTAAACACGATACAGTAAATTTTAATTTACTAGTTACAAATACAAGTGAAATTTACTTAAATCTCTCTCAAAATGGTACATGGCATTGACCTTTGGAGATGTAAACTTACTCCTGGTTCCCAAGAGCCAACTGAAAAGAAAACTGGTTATTTATTTAATATGACATTAATTGTATAAATGTCATCTCAGGCAAGAATGCTAACCAAGAGTTGTTTCATAATGGTTAGTCAATGTCTTAGCAACAAATTTAGTTTTGTTTCTATCGTTCTGTCAGTAGCTATTAGGCCATTTCATATGAAATGTCTATTTATTATTTCAGAAATTCAAAGTGAGATCAGTAGATTTCTATTGTTTACTTTGTTTATATTCATAGATCATAATGAGCTGTTATTAACACTCTCTTTTTTGATAATATTTACTATCATTCCAATTGATTGCACATTGTTTAGTATGCCATCACATACGACCTCGGAAATCCACAATTTGAGTAATTTATTTTTTATGAGTTTAAACTAGGAAATTCGGCATCCCAAGATGCAAGAAACATTACCACAGTGTTTGGGGAAGGGTTTTGTAATCAACGGATCATTTGCTGGTGATTTGAAAAAAATATGCATCCAAAAAATTATTGGTTTCTTTATGGTTTCTTCTTTTTATCCAGAGGTGAATCCATCACATCCATATTGTAGGGCATTGATATTGACGTAATGCATCAAAAACTTGTCAAAAACAACCTGCATAGGTTAATTCGAATGGACCCTACTCTTACATGACAACGCTAGATCTCATTGCTCATGACAGACAGTGAAGCAACAAAACGAGCTGTGGTTCTTTCATTCCCACCTTATTCACCAGACTCATCTCCAACAGATTTCCATCTGTTCAGAAATTTGGACGACATATGAGACTTCCTTAAAGGTAAAAGGTAAAATACATTTTCAGACTTTATATCTTCACAAAACACTGAATTTTTCAATTTTGGGGTTGGAAAGTTGATAACTCTTCTTCTTTGGTGCTGCATCCGATGTGGGGTCAAGCCCTCCTGTAACATCAGTTGCAAGTAATTTTTGTTCAGAGCAGCTGATGTCCATTCTCGAATGTGGAGGATGGACCTTGCGTCAGCCGTCTTGTACAAAAGCAGTTCTGTTGTTCGGTTGCGATTTGCTTTTCATGTGTCTTTGAAGTCCTCTTCCTCGCCTTTAAGGCTATACAGGATTTTCTCGGGCCACTGGGTGAGGGCAGGAATTTAAAAGACTCCTCAGGCACTGGGACGCAAACTCATGACTATTTTTATCCAGTTATTTATGTATCAGGTTGCCAGGATTCGGCAGTGCTGTGCAAACATGTTAGCCTGTTTGGACACCCCACCCCCCTGAAATAGAACCTATTGGACACCATTATTCATTGGTCTATCTCATGTCGCTTTTCATTGTTGGAGTTTTATGAGTCCCTATGTAAACAAATTTTTCTATCCATTGGAAAGTAAAATCTGCTATGCTTGTATCTGCCCTTGTTTCTCCTAGCACACCCGCCTTCATATACTTGTTCTTGGTTTGGTTTATAGTGAGACCAAGCCTTGCTACCGCTTATTCAAGGTCGAAAAATGTACCGCTGAAGTAAGTGCAAAAGTTAATAACACGGGAAAATGAGGGTAAATATTTTGAATAAAATTCTTTTAATTTCATATAGTTGTTTTACTAACTAACGTTTCCTGTGGAAATTGACAATTCATATGAAACAACCTAATATTTCAATGTGTCACGCATAACACCTACTACAGTTAAGAGAATTTTCAAATTTAATTTATATTATGGTCATTTATAATAGTATTAAATTGCTCATTACTTACAGGAATGTCGTTCACTTGTGGACTTGTGTCAAGAAAAGGAACAAAATCGACAGAAGATGCCGTAGTTGTTGAAAGACTGAAGGAGAGCGGCGCTATCCTCATAGCGGTCTCCAATGTCCCTGAATTAAATCTGTGGTGTGAGACAAGAAACAATGTTTTTGGCCAGACTAATAATCCTTACAAATTTTCTCGTACTACTGGAGGATCTACTGGTGGAGAAGTAAATAAAATTTAAAATTTGGTATATTAAATAGCAAATTAGTTCATTATAGAGTGAGACATTGGTGCAGACTTTCCATTTCGATTGGGGGAGAGGGGAGTGAAGGACAAAAAAAAAAATAAATAAATGGCAGTAGTTCCTTATATGTGTAAAAAGTCAACATAATTATTGTGAAATGAGCAAATATAATTTTGATTACTTCAAAATAAATTTATATATTTGTTTAGAAATTGTAGAACTTTTTGTTATACATATGGATATACTTGAAAATATCTAAACATTACAATTCGATTTATTACAATTTGTATCCATTAAACATGGAAAAAAGGGGAGGGGAGCAGCCTTCATATCATAGGTACATTTATATAACTTTTTTAGCTAAAAATGAACAATGTTACAAAATAAAAAAATATTTTTGATTTCTTAATTTGCACAACACTTTTATTGGAGATGTCAATGCCTTGTAAACTAATAAGAGATTTCTTATAGATAAGAATATTCTTTATATTAATAGTTATAAATTTTTTACTATTTTTTTTTTTAAATCAAATTTTATTTTCCAGTCTTCCATAATCTCTGCTTGCGGATCACCTTTCGGAATTGGCACCGACATTGGAGGCTCGATCAGGATGCCTGCATACTATTGTGGTCTATTCGGTCACAAACCTACAACTGGTTAGGATATTGATAATTTTTTACATTTAGATTCAAATATTTATTCATAGTATTAATTATATGTTTGTAAGAAAGCAGAAAAATAAGCACATTGAGTATTTGAATAAATCTCATATTTAAGAATTATAAAATAAATATAATATTGTAATGATACTCATTTGATATCAGGAATAAAATGTCTGGTATGTCCACTTCCACGAGTTTCCTTATCATTTTAGTTATGTAGTCCAATTGAAAAATCATTTTATGTATCTTCTTTTACATCGGTCCAATCAAACTTTTTATTGTTGTGGAATAATTTTATTAAAAAAAAGTCCTTAAATCAAAAATTCTCACTCTCTCATTTTATGTTTTGAACATCAAGGAACAAAAATTTGGACTTATATCTGTCTATATGATACATAAGGGCCCACAAAACCGATGCTTTCGACATATAGTTCATTATCCAATCCTCATCCCTATGGAACTCCATCCCTCCCCACATCCGTCAATCCAAAACCCTTTCTACCTTTAAATCACGCCTGTTCAATCTTTTCTTATTCATCCATTCCCCATAAAATTGTAAATAGTTACTACTGTAAATATGTATATAAATTATTAGATCGTTCTTCATTATTTTTAATTCATGTTTATTTTCAATTTTTATTTTTTATTATTAACTGATCTAAATTAGTAAGTAACTTATAATTTCTTCTATTATTTTTTTTTAAATTTAGCTATTTAATTATTCTTTATTTTTGTTTATGTATCTCTAAGGCTCCTTAGCCCTCATTATTGTCTTTCTGTATTATTCTATAGGGACTTATCCCAGAATAAATAAAGCATTATTGTTATATTATTATGGGGAAAACTCCTACAAGCCTTAATCCGATTTTGATGATATCAGGGATTGTTTGGGTTGATCTAAACCTGAATGATCTGATATTGATTTTATTAAATTTTAAATGCATATATATTATATATATATAACTCATGGTAGAAAAAGTATTTGTTCTGTTTTATTGGCCATGGGGCGAACCTGGGTAGGTAGACCCCCCTAGGGCACACCCATCCTCTATAAATTGGGTACCCTTAATTAAAAAAATTAATTTAGGGGAAAAACTTGGCAGTTGAGCGTGATCTCGGTCAAATCACCTCCTTGCACAACCATAGACCAAGAAACAGTGCTTTCTCTGAATAGTATTAAACCCAAGACCCTTCCTGGGTTGTAGTGGTACAGGTTTTTTTTATTTTTTATATGTTTGTGTAATTGAGAATGTAAATTGACCCAGAATTTTTATATTATATTTTTAATTATATTTTTGTTAATACTATGGGTAAATTATATATTTTTTTATTTGCACAGGTTTAATAACAACAAAAGGGCTTACGTTTAGGACAGGTGATGAAGTTAGTACCATGGTGACTGCCGGTACACTCTCACGCACTGCGAAAGATATAACTCCTTTTCTAAAAGTCCTTTTAGGAGAAAACGTCAAATCAGTAAAACTTGATGAAAAGGTAACTTTAAAATTTTAAATACCGCAAGAGAAACATTAATGGAAAATGTTAGGTAGGTCTGTTGCTTGGATGTAAACAGATATGTGTACAGAACCCATTCTGACCCTAACTTTTTGATGAATTTTATTTTTTTCTCCTTTTTTTGTTGTGCTTACAAACCGTGTACCCATAATCTGTATGTTATAAAGAGTAGAATTGCTAATAATAAAACAATACATTTGATCTATAAGTCCTACTTTCACAAATGTTTTGGCCGTTTTCAAGGGAAATAAACCTTATTTTAAAATTAAAAATATTTGGGCTAATTAATTTATCTATGTCACATATTTTAATATAAATGATAGTTTTTTCATATTATAGATGTTTTTAACTGTTCTAAAAAACTACTACTAAACTAAAAATCTGGTGCGGTTTGCGCATCACACAACTTTCACTTACCACCCTCTTCTTGGCAGAAATCAGTATTTTCAGACAAAAGGGAAATAAAAGTAAAAATTATAGTGTCTATAATACCCACAATTAAATATAGCATCTATATTTAATTGTGGATGTTTTCATTTTGTATAAATACCCTTATATATACAAATTTTAATATTTTTATCTCTGTAAGCTATACAATTAAATATTAAATAATACTAACAATAGCATTTATGAAAACCGCATATGTATATTTAAATAATATTGTCGGAGTCCGTATTATATTGAGCTCATGTTACGTAAGGAAGACTGCCTAATCTTTAGACGCACTCACATTGCTTTGGCTCCTCAATTACAACTATTCTCCGTTACAATCTCTTATTTCTCCCTTAGTTAATTATCAAATTCTTTCATATCCAATATTTAGCTATCTTTTATATTAGAAATCAACGTAAAATGGTCAATTGTTTCAAATAAAAAAAATGAAAAATAGATACTTTGATAGAGGAAGCCAATATTGAAAATTAGCCATTTAAGCCATGTTACAGAACCTCAATAAGAATAAAACCTATATTTTATTTAAAACTGCTTAATTTTACACTGATATAATGAATTTAATCAAAATTGTTTGAGCAGTTTTTGAGAAAATCGTAAAAATGTGTTAAGTCCATGATATAAATTGCCAATTTTAACGAAAAAGTTGCTGTGACATCCGTAGCATATAAAAACCTTAAATATACAATTTTAATTTTGTATGACTTCATTTTTGAGCTAGACTGTTAACAAACACACACACACACACAGACCATTTTCTGGGACTTGGTTATTTGTACCTCAAAACATGTATTTCCGTTAACAACTGAGATTTCAAAATTTTCACAATCTCAATACTTTCCTTTATTATATATTTCATATATAGAAAAGTGACAGTAAAAACTACTTGTTTACTGTTCTTTCATTGTTCTATTTAATTATAGATATTTTTCCCAATGTTAAAACTATCTCATGTGTTGTTTATTTAATAGCCGATTCAATTATCCTAGCTGAACAGAATTAATTAATTATAAATATTTTATTGATATATACAAATAAATAAAAGGTCCTAGGAATTATTTATGGTTGATTAAATTTCATACGTAATATTTTAATGCCTAGTCAGTTTTTTTTTAAATCAATATTTATGTAATATTTTAATAATTGAAGAGAAGATTGGTTGGGTTGTTCAGTAAAAAAAATGTAGAAATGAATAAATTGCATTTATTTTCATTAATAAATACAATTTATTTATTTTTACTTAACTCTCCACCAATCTTCTTTTTAATTATTCACTATAGTCAAACATCAATTCACAATTATAATATTTCAATATTTTGTTTAGGTAAACTTGCAAGATGTTAGAGTTTGTTATTGCTTGAACCCAAAAGATCTGAGGGTGAGTCCGGTATCTAAAGAAGTCGTAAAATGTATTCTGAAGGCTGTTGATCATTTATCTACTGTTTCAAAATTTCATGTTGACAAGGTAAAATATTTAAATAATTCCAAATAAAATTTTATATGGTAGATGTGAAAGAAAAAGATTAATCAAATTATTTTATGGTTCATTTAAACATTTCACAAACTGTGGGAAATACAAATATCTAAATGCCTGTTTTCCTATGCTAGTGTTTTTTTTCTTGTTTTTGATGTTTTCCATCTCCTTTGGTAACAAGAGGAATAAAAAAAAAAGAGGAAAGAGATGGTCCGGGGTGGCGGTCATACATAGACTAAAATAGTGACAAAACTATTTTATTTCAAGCCAACATTTGTTCAATTAGTTCTATCAATTAAAACTGAACTTTAGTTTTAACTAAAACTCCTTGCTGGACACACCTCCCTGAAGAAGACCTGCAAAGTTGGGTCGAAACATTGGCTTGAAATAAAATAGTTTTGCCACTATTTTAGTGTATTTATGACCGCCACCCCCAAAACCACCATCTTCCTCCAAAATACAACGGTCAACTATTAAGTTTTCAATAAAAAAAAAGTTTGGCTTAACATTAATGTAACTATTAAGTTAGATAATTGTGTTTCCCATAGTTGGTGAAATGTCTAAACGCACCTTTAGAAATGATTTCACGATTTTAATATTAATATAAAAACATTGGTAGCTAGCGATGGTTCTAATTTTTTATCTCGTCTGTTTATTTATCTGCATATGCTTCTATATTATTGAATAGATACGTTTTCATTGACAAATTATTAAGTATTTATACTACGAATCAGTCTTAAATTTTCTTACACCTATACTCAATTTAGGTGTGAGGTTTCTTCATGGAACATTCCTCATCACCTTGCAATTATTTTCTCAAGAAAAAAAATATTCATGTGCAGGAAAAAAAAAAAATTGTCCTTTTGTTTTAGATATAATATCTAATGGAGTCAATATATTAGACTCAAGGTACTCCAAAATATATAAATAAATTGAAAACTCATTAAATTGGATAATGACAATAAAATTGGGTAGCGAAAATGTTATCCAATCACTGTACCTTTCTTAGTTAGCTGTAAAGAAAGGTAAAAATATATGTACCTATATACAGAGTGATTTGGGAGGTACGTGGCAAACTTCAGGAGTGAGTTGCACAGAGAGAGAGAACTACAATAATATTGCATGGCTGCTCAACTGTGTGTAGTTGCTGAACCACACAGCATACTCATCAATCAACTGATAATATTGAAAAAAATTAAGAGAGCGTTAGTTCAGGCCATCGGAATACATATCAAATATTCTAAAAACGGTTTATAGAATCAAATAAGTGATGGCTAAGATCAGTATATAAGTTGATGGAGGATTCCTAACGAGTCTAAAATAATAGTTTCTGTCATGGTCCGCATCTGTTCCCTCCTAACACCGAGCCTCAGAAAATAATAAAAAAGAAAATTATGTTCTTATCTGGTTTTCATTTGTTTAAATTTTATCGGCCCTTTCATTTTAGAGAATCACCTTAAAGGCGACAATACTTAGATTTTTTATGATTTGAATTACAAGGTCTATCAGAGTGCAAATGCACTTTCAGCATTATGAAGCCTCCCATACATTTCGCTTGTCAGGTGAGGCAACATTTGGATGAACGGTTTCCAGATCATCGGATTGGTCGTGGTGGTCCAGTTAGTTGCTCTCCAAGATCTCCAGACCTCACAGTACTGGATTACTCATTATGGGGCTGGTCCAAGGATACAAAATGAAAATAGGCACTTGGAGTGCACTAATTCAACATATTAAAATTCTGCAGGCATCATTAAAGGAAGATATGAAACCATCAAGAGGAAAACTGTTGTCTTTCAAAGATAAAGTCTCTTCGAACTCTTCTTTTAATAAGTGTTCAATTTATTAAAATGACTTTAATAAGACTCTCTTATTTTATGTTTTAAACATGAAAGAACAAAAACTTGAAATCGTATCTGTCTGTATGACGATCTAATTGAGAAAACCCCTACTAGCCTTAATCCGATTTTGATGATATCCCATATTAAAATTCTGCAGGCATCATTAAAGAAAGATATGAAACCATCAAGACACACATCTGTTGTCTTTCAAAGATAAAGTCTCTTCGAACTCTTCTTTTAATAAGTGTTCAATTTATTAAAATAAGACTTCGATAACTGAAATGCTGATACATGTATAAAATTTAATCAAATGAAAATCGGATAAGGACATATGAGTTTTTCATTATTTTCCTGTGTGTAACCCTCTCTTGGAGTGTAGCCTGTTCCTCCCGACTCATTGTGTGTGATTTCCAAATATATCTAGCTCGATCACTTAATAGTATTTTTATTAATTTCATCATCTCATAAGACTTTATGTGAAATTACCAAATATTATTAAATTAAACTCTGGAAAAAAATGTATTCATATATACTCTTTATTATTTGTAAAATCTATTTATTACTATAATTCATATTTTTGTTCTGTAGGTTAGTTTAAATGGATTCAAGTATAGCTTAAGTTTATGGAGACATGAAATGTCATTAGAACCTTCCAACTTCGCTTTGGATTTAGGAAATAGACAGGTAATTATGATTTTGTAACAAGATTCTATATCTTAATTTCACATCCTTTAAATCTACAGCATCTAAACACTAAATATAATTAAAAAATCAATTTTTTTTTTTTTACAGAAAGAAGTTTCACTATGGTCGGAATTACCAAAGATGCTCTTATTTCAATCAAAGCATACTTTACCTGCTATTATGCGGCTCATGGACTTGAATCTTTTACCGCCAACTGATCCAATATGGGCTGAAAAAGAAAGGGATACTTTGAAAAAACAAATTTTGGTATGTTTTTAATAAAATGAACAACTACAAATAATTTAAAAATAGTTGAAACATTTAAAGACTGCATTCAAATGATATATTTTGCTGTAAAGTGATCTGAACCATAGGAGCTGAATATTGATGCACCGCAATGGCTGATCAATCGTAAGCAGACATATAGAGAAAAACTTTGAAATAACCTGCACAGTGTGGCGCTTGTTTTCACTCATATCTTTTTTATTAACATTGTAGTGTTGTTTTTTTGTTTTTTATTGTTATTAGATATTAAAAGCCATTTTAAGAGTCCATTGTTAGGCTTACTTTAGAGACTAACAAGGAGAGGATCTCACACATGCCTCCTAGATTTCTATGATTTTCAGGTGAATCAAACATCCTCGGAGTCCTGGGAAAAATCTGAAGGTTCCATATGCAAAGCATACTTTCATTCATTAAATTTCAGGTTCCCGATGATAGAAAAATGATTTTAGTATAGGGTAGCCAGGCGGTAGGACAGTCATACAATTTGTATTTTTTTTTTTCAATTTATAATTATCATTATGTATATAATCGTATATAATTTGTGAATAATTTTACATTAATATGTTATTAGAATAAATAGATTCATTTTGGTAATGAAAAAATTATAACATTTTATATTATAAAGTTTCAGGTAGTTATTAATTTTTGAATTGAAAACAAATTTCTTTATCGCCCTTTGCCTATTTAATACAGTTCTACTTTGAAACTTTGAAACCTGGCAACCCTAGTTCAGTACCAAAATGTCTTTACCGTTGTATGAAAAAATATGCCATCCAGATATTTTTGTAACCAGATTGGTTATAATAATACTATACATATCAAAAATAGTTTTTTATTTTGAGAAATCTTCTATTTACACAAAAGCTAAACTCAGATTAAAGAAAATTTAAGAGAAGGGTATATAAGTCACCATAATAATTTTAAAGCTACGCATGGCCACTTGTGGTTGGAGTGATAATTTATAAACTTTATATATATCGTTGGTTTATTGAAAAAGTCACCTAGTACACTTGGTCGATTTTTTGCTGAAGGTACGTAGTTTTAATTTCAATCATATTTATCGATACAATAACTCATTAACTGCATACAAATAATACAAATTCTTTTATACGTAAAGTAGTTTCACTAAGGGCACGATGTTCCGACTTATCAGAGCAAAAATTCACTATTTGGTTCTTAATGACTTCTTTCACTGGATTAATTGATCAGATGGTTATTAAACTAAGTGAGGTAAGTCTGACTCACATTCTATGTACTTGCAAGGTTATTAAAGTAAGTTAGTGTTTCGTTTAACTATGATGGTGTACAAAACATCACTATGTGCGTCGTGGTTTCAGTTTTTTCATTGTTATGTATATGTTAAGTATTTTAATCAATTGTCGAAAATAGAATACATATTTAGAATTGCAAGTAAGAAAGAAGAAAACAATCAAATTGCTATTTTATTATTTTTTTAACAAATCAGAAACTCCAACTTATTTACCTCAAATATATTAAAATGTTACTTAACGACTTTTTGCAATAAACTGATGATATATATTTTCCAATACCAACTTATATAAATGCAAATATACTGTACTTATAGTATATAGTATAGTTAAGGTGACCAGTGGTAAAGTGAGACACCATTGAACGAAGGGAAATTCTTGGTTAACATTTGGTTTATTAAACCGAAACAATAGTTCAAATTTGTTGTTACATTAATTAATTTTACACAATGATAATCTGGTGCAAATGTTAATCAGGTTGCATAGTATTTAGCTAAAAAAAAAAGTTGATAATTTAGTTCTAACGGTGTATTTTTGAGAGCGAATAATTTGATGTCGTATTTGACGTCTAATTTATGATTTCAATAACCAAAAAGTTTTAGAGACAAATGTTTTGTGCCAGCAGTTTTTACACAATGAAGTAGCTCTTTTTCAAAATGCTAAAGACCTATTGAAGGTGATAACATTTCGGTAATCGAATTAATAAATTATGTTAATTTGCTGTGATGTCCAAGATTTCATCTTTCCTTATCAATATTTTAATATCAATACCTCATTAAAAAGATCATTTTCATGCTGTTTATTATCATTAAGTCCAAACAATGGTCAAATTCTAACAATTGATCAACAATCCGAACTTTGTTAAGCAGTTCTCAATAATCAGTTTCTTAACAATTATTCGTTATTATTATAGTTTAACATTATAAAATAATATAAAAATCTTCATAATATCCTGGGGGAATAGCTACGTGGCCGTAGAAAATCGTATATTCTCTTCCCGTTCATCTGCCATTCCCTAGCTTGTCGTGCATTCTTTCCGAAAACCGGGGCATTTTGAAAATGACACAGGACAAATTTTTTAAAATCAGGGCTGTTCCGCCAAAAGTGGGACATCTGGTCATTTTAAGTATAGTTCATTTATTTTTCACAATTGTCATAAGTAGACACTGTTATAAAGTGGCAAAAATTTCCACCCCCAATAGTGTCTGTTTACGGAAAGTTCATGTGTATCATACCAAGTGTGAAAATATGAAACTGGAATTTTCGTATAGAAAATAAACATTTATTGCATTAAAATGCTAAAATTATATCCCATTGCTAGCTATAAATTTTTCTCATCTTGTGCACTATATGAATGCCATACTAGAAAAACTCTCTTATGGCAAACCGAGTCATTTAGGTGTTTTCATAAGAAGTGAAACTCTGCTGAGCAAGTGTGTGTTCCATCAATGCGAATAAATAGTAGTCGGACGGAGTTAGCAACATGCAGTAATATTTCCATACAAAATATAATTCAGTCATTTCCTTCACTGCTTTCACTGTCACTGGGTTTAAATATGATGGGACATCATGGAGCAAAGTTATTTTGCTTCATGATGACATTATGAGTATAACCTTAGTAATGTCCATTGGTTGTCGATATTATCAAAATATTGATATTTTCCTTCCGTTATTCGGTATTTTACCATTGATGCTATTAACTGCATCAACAGATGGGCAGAAATAAATGAATTAAAGCTGAATGCAGATAAAACCAAGGCTATTATCATCGGGTCCAGACATCTCATCAGCTCCCTTTCTTCCTTTCCTCTAGTTAACCTCAATAACCGTCCCATCCATTTTTTCCCTGCAGTCAAAAACCTAGGAGTAACCTTTGACCAGAACCTCTCCTGGAATAACCATACCTTCCAGATTACCCGAAAATCCATAACTGACTGCCCTTAAACAACTCCTAAGATTCCGTGATTGTATTCCTCTAAAAACCAGACAGCTCCTTGTAACCTCACTTGTATTCCCCCACTTCGACTACCGCTGTTTGGTGTATGGAAGGCTATCTGCCAGGCTGGAAATGAGACTAAAGAGACTCATGAATTGTTTTATAAGATACATTTTCGGGATCCCCAGGCGTTCACATTTTTCACTCTGGTACACCAAGTTGAAGTGGCTTTATCCTACTTCCCGACGACAATTCCTCCTTGGTGTTTTCCTTTTCCAAGTCTTCAGAACCAAAAACCCTCCCTACATCCTGGAACTCCTTACTGTACGCTCCTCTATCCACTCTCTCAATACCAGGTCTCAACCTTTTTTTTTTTTTTTTTTTTTTGTTCTTCCCTACCTCGCCTTTTAGACTATACGGGATTTTCACAGGGGGTGAGGGCGGAGAATTTAAAATCCCCTCCGGCACCGGGACCAGGTCTCAACCTATAGACTTATATACCCCCTCCCATAAAACTTCCTCCTTCAGCAAATCCTTCATCATTTGTGCTGCTTGCTTATGGAACACACTTTCTACCTCTCCATGCGTCAACAAATTCCTTCAAACAACTCCTGTTCCAACACTTACTCCACATTCAAACTTCTCCTAACATGTAAAATTACTTGCATCTGTACAATGTTTAATTTCAATCCATTGCACAATTGAAATAACAATTAACAGTAAATTAGTTTGTATTTTTATTATGTCAGACTAAGACCCATACATTTGTAACTCTGTTATTATTCTTAGGAGATAGTAGTCCCAGAATAAAATTATTTTTCCATTTTCATTTCATTTCATTTTCATCAATGTTGTCCTTTCGATATTTTAGTATAAAAATTAAAACTTATCGTTTTTAGAAAGTACTAGGAATCATATATGAATCTGATGTTTTAAAAAAACATTATACTCATCTTACCTGTTTCATATAGTAGTGCATAGTAGAGGGAAATATTGATATTTCAATAATATAGACTATTGATGGCCATTCTTTTGTAGAGTTAAATAGCGCGCGTGGGACCCTTCTCACACAGTAAACTCAAAAATCTATCTAGGATGCAAATAAATTAGTATTTTGCTGAATACCATCTGTAGGTGAATGGTACAAATGAAAGGCATAACTGGTTGAAGGGAAACTTCTGGAAAAATTGCAACAAATTTCTGGAAAAGGCTGAGGATAACAAAGATAGACAGGAACTAGAAAATTAATTTTACTAAGGAGAATAGAAGAATCAATATTTCCATTAATTAATTTAAAGAGGAATATAACATCTTTTTTCATACACCTATATGCTAGAGAACCAATATTTATATTCATATCTCAAAAATGTTTTTAATATCGATGAAAACATTGACTATCAATATTTCAAGTCCGATATTTTGATGGATTTCGATCGTTATATGCCAATATCAATATTGGGCCTTCGATATCCCATCCCTAAACCTTATTATTTTTTCATGTAGTTGTAGTTGCTATGTAACTAACAACCTATATATTATTTATTAATTATATTTTAAGTATGTATTGATAATTTTCAAGTTGAAAAAATAGAATGTTCATTATTATTTTATGGATTGTTTGTTAATTAATTTATATGTAAAAAAAATTTCTGATTTTATGCATCATCACAATTTTAATTTAATTTTTAAATATGAATCCAGGAACTTTTAGGAGACAATGGAGTTTTATTATTCCCGAGTTGCCCCACAGAAGCGCCTTACCATTACGCTTCATTCTTTAGACCTTATAACTACGCTTATTGGTCAATATTCAATGTACTTAAATTACCAGTAACGCAAGTTCCACTTGGTATGACGAAGAATGGTTTACCAGTCGGTTTACAGGTATATAACTTTTTTTATAAAATATATTAATGATAAATTATAATTAAATGACATTTATTACAATTATATCAATTATTTCTACTTTCCAGGTTGTTGCCGGTCCTAATAATGACCATCTTAGTATTGCTGTAGCTGAAGAGCTTGAAAAAACATTTGGTGGATGGGTTCCACCATTTGCTCAGTGAATTTTTATTTATTTATTTATTGTCTACAACTGATTTAATTTTTTTTTTAAGTATTATAAATATTATAGTATTTTGGCTGTAACTGTATATACCAAAAATACATTTCTTAAAGGAATTAATATTTTTATATATGTTTATGCTATTAATACCAACTGAGGGGACAGTATTATTTTAAAACTTTTTGAAAAAGAAAAATATTTTATAATAAATATTTTTTTTAATCTATATATTTATTTTCCATTTTCCAATTTTGATGTATTTATTTCTTAAAATTATCTTTTCATTAATTTTTTGGTTTTATGTCAGTACTATTATTATTTAGTTTTGATTATTATTTCTTAGTGAACTTTTGGAGAATTTCTGCCCCCCTCCCCCTTCAGCATCTAAAATAATACAATTATTATATTATAGAATCTATCATAAAGCAGTCATAAAATAAACTAATGAAGATAGTGTCTGATTGCCTTATTCTTGATTTACATTTATGAACTTCTCGCAGAATTGAACAAGAATAAAAGATTTTTGTCATAAGTAAGTATTGACTCCAAAAATTTAACCTGAGAAAGAATAAATACCTCTATTGAGGAATAAATAAATTCTGTTCATACTACATACTAACAATACTAAAACAGCAAATTTTAAAAATCATTCTTTACTCATATCATTTAAATGTAAAAAGAGAAAAACACTTTCATTGTAAAAAAAGTAGCCTTTTTGGCATTGCAGAATAAAAAGCCTGTTCGAATTGGGAGACTGATTTAATAATCGGACATCTTGTTCATTGGTATTCCTGTTTTTTTTATTTTCAATTGACTTAAAAAAAAAACCTATACTACTACAACTCATGAAAAGTCTTGGGTTCAGTATTTTGTAAGGAAGTATTGTTCCTTGGTCAAAGGTTGTACAAGGCGTTTGAACTGAGATCATATGTTTGTCCACTCAGTTAATTATTTAATGAGGACTATCTTTACAGAGGCTGGATGTGCACCAGGAATGTTTGCGAATTACAAAGTCGATGTAACAGAATAAATAAATACCTGCTGGACTTGAATCTGAGATCTAGATCTTAGAAGCACTGTATCTTACTCACTGAGCTACTCCGCTCTCCTAAGTTAATCAAGTGGAAAAATTAAACTCAAAATAAATATCTCAATATTTAGTTTTGTAACTAAAGTGATTACTGAATTTGAGAATTGTATAAATTATATCAATGGCTACTTACTTGCTAAGCCATTGAGCAACAGATTTATTTATTGGGTCGAGTTAACCTGGTAATTGAGAGTGAATCACATCATCTAATATAACTGTTAGAGTCACTAGCGGATCCAGGATTTAATTTTGGGGGGGACTTCAGCCCGAAAGATTTTTTTTCATATATATAACGATAATTAATTTGAAACAAATAAGAAAGAAATGAACTACCTATATGAAATGGTGTTTAAGTGATTCTTGAAATCCTATTAAATGTAAATACACGAACAATAATACTTTAAGAGTTAGTTTTTAATATTTTTTTCTATAAAACATGGTTAAATTTTACCGTTTTGGGGGAGGCTTCAGCCAATTAAAAATTAGAAAGCATGGGGCAATTTTCCCATTCTTAGTTTCTGCTCTGAGTGTTACCACATAAATTATTTAAATAAAGTGAAAATTTGAAGTAAAATTATATACATACGATTATAATTCCCTGTGCAGAAAAACCAAAGGTCACAGTCACAGACAGATTTTCTTGGAAACACGTCAAATATTGAATTCAACACTGAAACTCAACCTTTCCATGTAGCTGATCTAGAATTTAATTTGGGGGGGAGAGGAGCTTCAGCCCCAAATCTTTTTTTTATGTGCTTATAATTATAATTACTTCAGAAGAAAAAGAAATATGAAATGGTGTTCATGTGGTTCTTGAAATTCTTTTAAATATAAATACACGAACAATAATATTTTTAGAGATAATCGCTTAATATTTGTTCATATTATTTTCTGTTATATTTAACCAGTTTATGGCAGAGAGTGGGGCTTCAACCCAAAAGTTTCCATCTCCAGTAGATCTGTCTGTTCCTTGTTAAGATATTACATTATCATTATGTTAAGAAGTGTTTAGACATTTCACAAACTATTGGAAACACAATTGTCTTACTTAACTAATAGCGACAGTAGTGCTGAGCTCAATCTTTTTTGGCTCCACGTCATATTGTTCAGTCAATAAATGATTATAGAAGGGAATGGTGGGGACACAATTTTTGATTTTGGGACATTGTTTGGACAAGTAAGGAGGTAAATATGCTATATAAATTCAACATAATCATTGTGAAAAGAACAAATGTAATATCGATTATTTAATAATAAATTTATATATAAGTTTATTTTTCATTTTAATTAAAATTATTGGGGGAGGGCGAAACGATGTTCTCACCCTCTCGACATTTTTATTGGGGAGGGAAAGGAGGGGGATTGCCCCAAAGTCTGCGCCTTTGCTCCGCGGAGTACCAGGGACCGAAAGCCAAGCCACTGGAGTAGAAGATGTTGCATGATGGACTCCATGTTGGACTTTCGAATAACACAATAATAAAGAAACAGCTATTCAAACTCCTGGAAATAAATCAGGAAAATAAATAAATAACTGTTTATATTGCCTATGGCATATGGAGATGGATATCAGAGTGGTTTCCAGAGATTTAAACATAACATAAATTTACAAAACAATTATCTTTGTGGCCAAGCATACCACAAATACGAAATAACGATCTTCAGAACCCCATTTATTTTACGGCAGTTAAAAAACATTTATGTAAGTAAAGTTCAAAACATCTATGTGAGGGCCCTTCGGAAGGGGTCCAAAAAATTTCAACAAAGGAATACAAAACAATTACTTTTGAGACCATTCGTATAATCACGGGCTATATAAATTAACCAATCGTATAACGATACTCGGGACTCCTAGAGGGAGTCCCAATCATTTCAGGGCTATAAAAAGTATATTGGGAGGTCATGGGAAGAGCCATAAAAAATTGAGAAATAAACGAATACAAAACAATTATTTTTGGAGCCAAACATACCATGGTACGAAAAAAATACAAAATAATATATTTTATATTAAATATAATACTTGTAACTATTTATTAAAAAAAAAGCCAATGTTCTCACAAAAAAAAGTGAACGAACTGCCACAAAATAGCATCCAAACATGGCGGACTGATGACTTTGACTTAACTGAGTTTTTTGATCACTGAGAATCAGCATTTGGCTTAACTTCGTCATAGTTGGGCTTTTATTAAAGATGGATAGTCAGAGAATAATAAAACATGAACAAATATTTAAAAATAATGGCTTAGGAAATAAAAAACACCAGTTCAAATTTTTTAACTAAACATTTTTCAAGTTGAAAATCAAGCGTCGTTTGTATTTAAACGGCCAAAAATAAGGAAAAACATCTGGAGAATATATCCCTTTTTCTAAAACACTGATTACTTTTTAAAATATTTGAAGCAGTTCCTTAAAAAATGCACATAAGTGGTCACTAGCGGATCCAGGATTTAATTTTGGGAGGGGGGGCTTCAGCCCGAAACCTTTTTTTTTCATAAAAATAACGATAATTACTTTGGAAAAACAGAAAGAAACTAACTACCTATATGAAATTGTGTTTAAGTTATTCCTTAAGTACTTTTAAATGTAATTACACGAACAATAATACTTTAAGAGGTATTTTTAAATTTTTTTTCCCATAAAACATGGTTATATTTTCCCATTTTGGGGGGGGGGGGGCTTCAGCCCGAAAGCCCCCCCCCCCCCCCCCCCCCGTAGATCCGCCCGTGTAAGTGGTAGAAATGCGGGACTGGCACAGGTGCCTACAGGGCACTACCACATACAGTGGCTTAATAATACAGTGCGGTCATATGGATTCGATTTCTGATTGGTTGGCCATCTTGGATCGTCCCTTGCTATCTGCTTGCTCTTTAGGCACCTCAAAACTTTTAAAATTTCATATTTTATTAGCAGTATTTTAGTTCAGAAGCTTAATTTTGTTGTTTAAGTGATAGGTTTAGTTTATTAATAGGTAGTTTTTATTGAATAGTTATACGTTTTAGTGTTTTCAGTGATTGTTTTGGTTTCTTGTTCAGTGATAGGTTTCATCTTTACAGACTTATTTTATTAGTGATATTTTATTTAAAAGTTTAATTGTGTTGTTTTAGTAATAAATTTAGTTTACTAATAGGTAGTTTTTATTGAATAGTTGTACGTTTTAGTGTTTAAAGTGATAGTTAACCTATTCATGTTCAGTGATAGGTTTCATCTTCACAGACTCATATTTTATTAGTGATATTTTGTTTGAAAGTTTAATTGTGTTGTTTTAGTAATAGATTTAGTTTATTAATAGGTATTTTTTATTCAATAGCTATATGTATTAATGTTCCAAGTTAAAGTGACAAGTTTGGTTTCTTCTTCGTAGACTTAAAATTGTGAGTATACTTTAATTTTTTACTTTATTTTATTAATTTTCCTTTTTAATTCAGTGGTAATGAAAGAAAAAGATGAAAATCAAGTTTGAAACTTGGTTGTATGAAGACAGTGTCTATAGTTCGAGGCTATTAGCTAACACAATTTTTATCTTGAAGTTATTAGTTTCCAGTATAAAATTGAAATTTTGTTTTCCTTTATAGTTATTGTTACTTTCATCATTAAAATATGAGTATCATTTAAGGTCAAGATTATCATTTAAGGATCATAAACTATACTCAATTAAACTATGATTTAAGGATCATCAACTACACTCATATTTTAATATTGAAAGTAACAATAACTATAAATGAAAACCAAATTTCAATATTATACTTGAAACCACTGACGTCAAAATACAAATTGTATCAGCTAATAGCCCCAAACTATAAAAATATCTTCTATAATCAAGTTTCAAACTTAATTTCAATCTTTTTCTCTCATAACCACTAAATTACAAAGGAAAATTAATAAAATAAAGTAACAAATTAAAGGATTAAGTCAATTTCGAAACCTATATGAGCCAAATCAACTCAGTTAGAGGTGATTTAAGAGGATTTTTCATAGAGAAAAATGAGTTCTGTTGATGAAGAACACATATTTAATTGTCACAATATTAAATATAGTATTCTTAAGAGGTTTATTGTATTTAGACTTAGGATAAATTCAATAAGTAAAAAGAATTTCCCTCATATGTCTGTTTTTAGCAGTAAATATGTAAATGTATATGT